AGGCAGCAAGTGCTTGGTATAAGACCATCCACCGAGTCTTCATCAAGATCGGTTTTCACAGCAGCGGTGCCGACGAGTGTGTCTATGTGAAGGCCAACGAGGGCTCGTTGGTATATGTATGCCTCTATGTGGACGATATGATTATCGCGGCGAGGACTCGCGAGGAGATCCAGGACGTCAAGACGGCTCTGAAGAACGCGTTCAAGATGAAGGAACTGGGCGAGGCAAAGTTCATTCTTGGAATGGAGATCGACCACGACTACTCGTTGAAGACGTTGATGATCAAGCAAACTCGCTACATCGACGATGTAGTGGAGCGGTTCAACCAGAAGGACGCAAAGATGCTGGTGAACCCATGTGAGTCGGGACTAAAGCTAACGAGTGCTCAGTCGCCAACAACTCAAGTGGAGCGACGAGAGATGCAACGCAAGCCCTACCGAGCGCTCGATGGGTGTCTCCTATACATCACGACGTGTACTCGGCCAGATGTGGCGTACATCGTGACGCAGCTGTCGCGATTTCTGGAGAATCCCGGCCAGCAGCATTGGAAGGCTGCGATTCGAGTGCTGCGGTACCTGAAGAGCACTCGAGAGCTCGGTATCGTGTACAACGCCAGGTCGGGGAAGGTCAGATTGGTGGCGTACACGGACGCGGCCTGGGGCAGCAACCTCGATGACCGACGATCGGTATCGGGGACCATGGTGATTGTCAGTGGAGCCCCAGTGATATTCAAGTCCAAGTATCAGCGCACGGTGGCGCTGAGCTCTGCGGAAGCGGAATACATGGCACTTGGGCTGTGCACGCAGGAGGTGTTATGGGTCCGAGCCATGCTGAAAGACCTCGGGCATGAGCAAATGGGAGCCACCAAGGTCTGGGAAGACAACCAAGGAGCGATAGCTCTAGCAAACAACGCAGGCTACAACGTCCAACGAGGCCTCGTTGACGTCAAATATGTGTCGACGGAGGACCAGCTCGCAGATATGCTGACCAAGCCAGTGGGAACCAAGCGGCTCAAGTACCTGATGAGTGCAAGTGGAGTGCTCGCCAAGGCTACTGAGCACTAGTGGCGAGTGGGAGAGTTGATATGGTGCGCCAACGAGTACTCGTGGACCACCACCGAGAACTCATCAAGAAATGGTGGAGAGGATCCGACGGCGACAGGAAGCAGCACGTGCATGCAAGGACGTTGAGTGGCTGAGCATAGTGAAGGCAAGTCAACGAGGCATCGGAGGTAAGCACCATGATG